TGGACTCAGTGACACTTGAGTCAGTTTTGATTCACACCTGAAAAGATGAAACAGCAGCCGAACATTTCTACTACATTTTTTTATTTATTGCAAACGTGAAAGTTAACAAATGTATGTTTCAATAAAGTTTCAGTGATGTTTTAAATGGATGATGCGTTCATGTGATTCTGGGAAACATCGATCTCTTCATTGTTGTGAACCTCAACGTTTAGATCATGGATGAAGGACCGCTTGACCTCATGATGGCGCAGTTGTGTGATGAAGAGGAGGATGATGATGGTCATGATGTTGCCCAAGTGACGGAGAACAAGTCAATCATCTGTCAATCACAGGGTGGAAAAGAAGACGCGATAAATATGATTCATCTCATAAGAATTGTTTTTTAATTTAATGTCAAAACAAAAACTTGTGACTTTACAAACTGAAATAAAAGAATAAAATAAAACATAGAGATAATATTTCAAACCACCAACAGAGTCTGACTGTTATAAAACTACTCACATGGGTTTGTTATGAGTTGCAGTCGTGGACCGTAGCGTGATCAGAAGTGTAGGAGCAAGCTCAGTTCATCAAGAAAAATTACCCATCAGTCACTGCTCCTCGCTGGAGCACTGAAGGACCGCCAATGGAACAGACGTTAAACGATCGGAGAGCACGTTGTCATGGTCACAGAGGATTTTACATATGTTTGTAACTAATGTTATAATTATTTAAGTGGTTAAAACATAAACTTTAACTTTAGCTAACTGTCACGTGGTTCAGCACAATCAAGTGTAGCATCATATTTCCACAGGGTGTGTTTGTGTTACCAGGGCAACACGTAGGAAGTGATGTCATGAAAGTTCAGCAGCATCTTCACTTCCTGTGTTAACACCATCAGCAACATTTCTCCATTGTGGGACTAAAAGATGTTTTTATTCTGAGCTGCTGAATCACTGTATAGTTTCCATCACTGCTGCCAGACACAATTTCTAACCAGCATGCATTGCGTTCACTCAGCGCTGCTCCAAGTCAAACACACCTATTATCTGGTTCTTCCTGTTGATGCTGGTTTCCATGGTGACTGTTTCAGAATCTGTTTAATTAATAATTTTTTTTATTTTAGCCGAGAATTTTTATTTATATGATGCAAACTTTTCATTCAAGGATTGTGGGGAACTTATTATATATATATATATATATATATATATATATATAATAAGTAAATACATACATACGAGTAATATTGTTGGAGGTTCAGGCTGATGTGGGGGGGCCTTTGTTTTTTTTGACACGTGTAAACCCTTATCCCAACAATGACGTCACACGGAGCCAGGTGCACCACTGATGACGTCATCACGTCAGCTACGTGTTACCTGTGTTTGGTTTTGTCTTTGTTAATAAAGTTGGTTTAAAAAATCCATTTGTTCATAAACACAAACCAGGAGACAAGTGACACAACAAAAGACAAACAGGAAACACCCATCTGTGTAAACACGTGTAAACACGTGTAAACACGTGTAAACACGTGTAAACACGTAAACACGCGCAAACACGTGTAGACACGTAAACACGCGCAAACACATGTAAACACGTGTAAACGTGTAAACACGTGTTTTAACTTGTGACTGACTCACCTGCACGTGACCCAGAAGACTGAGGTGAAAATGAACGAGTGAAGAGAAGAGAGAGGAAACTTCTCCTCTAACCTGAAGAGGCTGCGTCATGTATTATATTATTAAAGTTAGATTTTATATATCGTACGTGGCAGCGTCACGTCCAACAAACCGGAAGTACCTGGAAAAGGAGGGGCTTATATGGACAAAGCTGAAAGCTGATAGGTCGTTAGTAAATATTAACCCTTTGATGAAGTTGTTAATGATGACGTCACAAAAAATAAATAAATAACATGAATTAAAATCGTCTGAACAAGTTTATTATCATTAAACTTATTTATTATATTATTTCCTAAAGAACACACTGACTGTGACCAGCAGGAGGCACTGTGGTAACACCCCTGACTTCAGATTGTGTGTGTGTGTGTGTGTGTGTGTGTGTGAGAGTGATGTCTTGTGGGAAATTGTATAGTGTCCTCTCTAGATCTTGGCTACAGCCCGCGATGAAAAACACTCTCTCTCTCTCTCCCTCCCCCTCCCCCTCTTTCTCTCTCAGAGAAAATGGTAGATCCCAGTTTTCTTCACACACGTTCATATTTCTGTCTCAGTGAAGACGTTCATTGATCTAACACATTGACTAACCCTGAACTAAACCTAACTTAACCCAAACATAACTAAACCTAACCTTAGCTAAACCTTAACTTAACTTAACCCAAACATAACTAAACCTAACCTTAGCTAAACCTTAACTTAACT